AATAAAATATCTAAATGTGCTGCGAGATCTTTCAGTGGAAATTCTTTTCTAAAAAAAAATTTAAAATTGTTATATGATTCGTAATAGGTTTTGATTTTCTAATTAAGAACCTAAAATATGGAGAAAAGAAAACAAACACCCAAACTCACTAATGCAATTTTTTCGATGTCCACTGGTGGAATTTGCCGACTCATATTTGGTTACATTTTTTGTTTCTATGGAAACGGTTAACCAGTCAGGTCATCGCTGGTGGTGTACCGCAAGGTAAATATCTTAGTGCATGAATGAATGATCATAAGGTATGTCCGACCAGATTTGGGCAAATCTCTTATTTCAATATCAACTATTCACGTCTTAAATAGATAACCCAGATACAAGCGTTGAACAAATACTGTTTGATCGCTTTAGTCTTATGGCGGCAACAATGTTTATATTTCAAGATCAGTAAGTGGGTTAAATCAAGCTAACTTGATTATATAATGCCTCTACGAAAAGAATACATTCACCTTGTATATTTCGAAAAATCATTGCGCGCTCTCTTGCTGTAAGTTATCTACCAATCACAAGGGATTTTATTGCGAATGCATGAGATGTCTCTCTCTTCCTTGAGTTTTCTCAGATGGCTGCAACATGATATCTCGTTGAAATCGCGTATACTTTTTTCTTTTTTTTCTTTGGGTCATCATCCACGTCTGTCAGATCCACGACTATCAAAGATTTGTTTCCTTGTGACGTCTCTTTTTAATTCTAAAGTTAAATTCGCCGCAGAAAAAATGTCAGATTGTGGACGAGAACGTAAAATTGCAGTTAATAGTGATCCTGTAAAGAAGATGTTGCAGACTGATTTGAATAGTGAAAGAGATGTTGAAGTAAGTGTATAAGGTCACAGGAAGAGGGTTTTTGAAATCGTCTAAGGCGCCATTTTCCTCCGTTGTTTATTTATTTCGTAAATATCAAACCGCTGTATAGTGCTAGGACAGACATATAATAAGAGTATATCAAAAATATATGCACACTTCCTTTCAAAAATAAGACCTATGTTTACTGACTTACCCTTGACAAGGCTGACACTCAGTGTAGCAGTAAGATAGTCATGGAAGTAACTCTTCTCCATTGTGGCATACTAGTAACGAAACAAGATTTGGCAAAGTACTTGGTGTTGCGAAGAAAAAGATTCATAATTTCTCAAATGACAAGTGTTAAATAAACCGATTCGCCTGGTATTCGAAACCGGTTTGCAGATTCCATTTTCTGTGTTGATAACCGTTACGCTTCGTCAAAATGATATGAAGTGTAGCACTTTTTGTCCATCATAAATAATAAAAACTATAATCAATTTTTAAAATATGAGCGTTTAAATGAAACTTTATTTTAAACTTGCTTAAAGGCGCTCATTAACCTTGATGCTAAGTATATAGGATTATTTGCGAACTAAAATTCACTGTCTGTCTATATTTCTGAGATGAGGTATTGTAACTATCTACACTATTTACATTGTTCAGACTGTTGTCCTCATCTTTGTTGCCATATTCACGGCGTTTTAGCTGTTGTTCGCTCCGACCTTCTCCAGATGATTGGAATTTCGAACCAAACCCTTTATTTCGTCCACCGGGGGAGATTGTTTCCAAGGACACATGGCGCAGCAGAGGTGAACAAAAACTTGGAGAGTTGAGTTACTAAAGGGAAATAACTGAAACTGAGATATCCAGAAAAGGCATGGCATGTGGAACTAGAACAATCTACCTCTGTGGACAAAATAAAGGGTTCGGTTCGAAATTCCAACGTGTATCACCTGAAGAATGTCAGAGCGTGCAACGGCCAAAACGTTTTGAATATGACAATAAAGATGAGGACAATAGTCCGAACAACGTAAATAATGTAAATAGTTACATTACCTTATCTCAGAAATATAGACTGAATTTTTCTTTTAACTTAAAAATATTTTTCCAGCGTGTATCGTTCAACTCATTTTAAATAACTGCTTACCCAATGATGATGAAAAACCAGTTAAATTTACAATCGTCTCATGAAAAAATTAAAGTACAGATTATGAAATTAGCAAAACCTGATATTATCCATAAAGATAAAATTATATTCCCAACATTAAAATACATTCATATAACGAGCCAGACATGAGTTAATAATATATGTTATTAGTATTCATCTTTTACGTGCCATGTCACTTCAGGGATTTACTCGAATCTAACGTTACACCCTTGAATACACAGTGACATTGAATGCTCAATACAAAAACTGGCAGCCATTGTTTTTTTGTTTTGTTTTTTTACTTTTAAACAGGTTTAATTTCCATTCAGTCAAAACGCTCTTCCCCATGTTTACAAAGTTAATAAGTCGATAACTTGCAGAAAGCCATGTATACACGGGACCTACTAATATTCAATATCTGAAAACAGATTTTTAAACTCGTTCCACTTGCTAAAACACCGTGATACAAATGCTAGTGGGGAGTCAACGTTATTTACCAAGACGATTTCAATCGGACAAAAAAGAAAAGAAATAATATTGACTCCCATTTTAAGTGCGTTAATTTTATATACGTGTTCAAGCCAATATATTATATAAGATTTTTTCAAAGATGAATTAACATGAACGGACTAAAAGATATATGTAGGCATATATGAAAGGACTGAGAGATATACGTAGGTAGATATTAAGAGATTAAGATAGATAGGTAGGTATATATGAATGGATTGAAAGAGATAACTAGGTAGATACGAACAGCTTAAAAGAGATAGGAAGAAATAAAGATTGAAAATTAGAACGGGAGGTAAATAGATATCTAATTAAGAGATATAGCTGAGTTAATATGAACGGGCTGAGAGATAAGGGTAGGTAGATATAGACATATTGAAGGAGATATGTAGATAGGTATAAACGGATTGAGAGACAGGTAAGATGTGAACGGATTTAGATAGGTAAATATGAATGGATTGAGAGAGATAATTTGCTAGATGAGAACGAATTTCGAGAGATAGGTAAGTAAATATGAACGGATTTAGAAAGGTAGCTTGATATGGTCGGAATGAAAAAGAGAGGTAAGTAGATATGAACTGACTTTAGAGAGATATATTTAGTCAGATAAGTAGGTACATATGAACGTATTTAGACAAACAGGTATGTGGGTATGGACACATTGAGAGAGATAGATAAGTAGACATAAACAGGTTAGAAGAGATAGAGAGACTCGAACGAATTATAGAAAGATAGGTAATGGGTGCGATGGGTAAATTGTCGCCGTTTTATATTTTGAATTTCGCGCATGCGTGTTGTTTGTTGTTTATTTTGACGACTGCACAGTATAGTAGAGTCAGTTGGGCACTGTCTGTGAGAAAAAGAGCACCATAATTCAATTCATTCCACCAGAAACGGCATGCTGTACTGCTTGGCTTTCGCACCGAAAGCTCGCACTCATTTCATAGCGTTTGGGTGTCAATCTGAAGACAGTGCAAAAGGTTCGGAAAGAGTTGGACCAGTCTAATGGTGAATACGAAGATGTTTGTAGTGATCCCTAGTGATGCGACGTTATGCCTCCATTCATCTTTCCCCGGGGCCTCAGACTCAACTCGGAGACCTATATCAAGTGCCTTGAGAAGTTAGTGCTCCTCTGGGTCAAGACTGCTGGAAGACCCTATGTCTGGCAACAGGACTCTGCATCATGCCACACAAGCAGGAGAACCCAGTCATGGCTGTCAGGCAATTTCTGCAACCACAACACCCTTTACATCTGACCACCTAACTCCCCAGACTGCAGCCCCACTTGATGATTATGTGTGGGGCGCGATTGAGTGAGAGACCAACAAAACCCCTTGTAACACCAAAGATAAACTGGTGAGGGAGGATTATGGCAGCATTCACCAACTTAAACAAGGAGACAGTCCAGAAAAGTTACAGGAGATTCAGAAGTCGTCTGTAGTCTGTGATCGAAACCAATGGCGATTCTATTGAATAAATTTACTCTTTAGTATATTTCAAGATATTTTTGCGTAATTTTGGTAAATATATCTGTTAAAATGAGATATCAGTGTTATTATCACTTTTGCGTAATTTAAACGACAATCTATCCATCGCACCCTGTATATATTTATATAAAAGCCACAGAGAACCTACGTTCGAGCCGTGTGAAAATGACTGGAGTCGAGATGCCAGGTTAGGATCAATAACATTACAGATTCTTCTTTGGATTGTATGAAGGAATCACTAAATGCTTAACAGAAGCACCAGACCATATGTGGCAGCAATATTCAATGCATAGACGAATTGTAACTTATAAGTGTCTAAGATAGAAAAATTGTCTAACACGACACAGTGCACCAACTTTCCTAGAAGCAAACCTACAAATTGATTCGATATAATCTTTACACTTCTTGTCAGCGAAAAACGTTAGCCTGAAAAAGTACAATGAATCACTCTCCTTACACACACACACACACACACACACACACACACACATATATATATATATATAATTTATTCAAAAATTATAACATAAATATGTTATAAAATCACTACAAAAATAGAGATTTTGTTTCAACACTTCTGGTGTCTTATCAAGTGATGGTGTTGAGTGTAGAATAAAGGGTTTTAAAAGGTTCAAATCGATCAAACACCCCTCGCTAGGGGAAATGCTATTACATAAGCTACAATGACCAATCAAAATATAAGTATATGAGAATTCAAAAAACTTGACAACGAACTTTGGTTATAGTAATTAATGCT